ATGAGGATGATGAGGATGATGATGGTGATGATGATGGTGATGATGATGATGATGATGATGATGATGATGATGATGATGATGATGATGGTGATGGTGATGGTGATGATGATGATGATGATGATGATGATGATAACCTAATTAACCCTTTGTGTTCCACCTGTCCAAAGAGCACTCAGTTAATTAAATTCCCCCAATCAAAGTGTTCTGATTATATGATATATTAACCTTCTATATAGATTAGCTTTCCTCAACAAAATGGTTGTCATAATAAATAATAATACAATTCACAAAAGAAGTAAGGACGATCATGAGGATGATAATGAAGAAGATAATATTGATGGAAATGATAATGATATGGCTTAACCCTTTGTGTTCTCACCTCTCCTCAGAGCGCTGATGCCGCCTACAGGTCTTACTACCCTAGCAGCTTCAGCAACAAGGCTGGTGGCGCCCAGTTCCAGCCTCAGTACCTGCAGGCTCAAGTGGTGAGTTCACCAAGGGAGATGGGAGGGGGCGGGGCTTAGGAAATGGGAGGGTGGGGCTTCGGAGATGAGAAGGTGGGGCTTAGGATGAGAGGCGGGACTTGAATGAGATGCATGATGATGATGATGATGATGATGATGATGATGATGATGATGATGATGATGATGATGATGAAGATGATGATGATGATGATGATGATTGTAGAAATAGACCAAGGAGTAGTTTTCGGACATGAAAAAATAATTGATTGCTTAAAATGACTCGGAGTTTTGTCCTGAATGCTTCTTTGGGAGCAACTGAAAAAAATGAGGAAAGTGCTGTATGTATTACTGGATAGAAAGGGTGGGGGGGGGGGTAGGAGACTCACAAAGAGGTAATGGTGACCGTGAGGATGATCATGAAGAAGACAGTGATGGAAATAAGGAATGATATTGCAGAGAGAAAAATAATGAAATACTAAATCCAGAAACAGAGTTTGTAAACAGAAAAAGAAGTACTGACTTTAATTTTGCACCTATACTATAATATATGCAAGTTGTGTCTGTCCAGAAACACGACAGTAACATTAACTCTTTCGGGGCGAATCTCATTTGTCGCAATATACTTGGAAATAACTGTTAATAGGGTTACTCTACAGAAGATGTGTTCTGAGAGAGTTAACATTTGTCATCGTTTTTCTCCAGGGCCCCATGGGACCTCGCGGTTCTTCTGGACCTCCTGGATCCCCAGGACCCCAGGGAAGCATGGGACCCAGAGGCGAGCCCGGTGACCCTGGACCCCCAGTAAGTGACCTCACGAGTGCATGTTTTTAGTTTATTTTTAGTAGAGGTTTTACGGCGCTCGCAACTGCATAAGGTCATATGAGCGCCAAGGGATGGATGTCAACAGAGAAGTCTTTACAGGGAATCAGGCTTACTCTGCTCATCTCTCTAGCTTTAACAGCACAAAGTTTGTTTTGACTTTCAAGGCGCCCCGGAAATAGCGAGTCACAAGAGTGTGACAAACATACAAAAGAAGAAGGACTCACACAATGTCACCAACCATCTTTTCAGGGGAAATAATTGTGATCACAGCTGTTCCTCTTTTCCAGACTAGCATTGTTTGAGTTATAGCCCTTCCTCGCGGCCTCGTATTCTCTTACTCCAAGGAGAATGATAGCCATATAAAGAGAAAATGATGCACTCATGCTCTTACTCTTTTGTGTATTTTCATTCACTCTCTCATTTATTCTTTCTTTATTACACACACATCTACTCACACACCCAAGAAATTAATCAATCAATCAAAAGATCAATCTGCTGATCAACCAATTAAATAACTTATCTTTAATCAATAAACTCGTCTATCAATCAGAGAGACCATTTCAATGTTAGGAAGCAGTATTTCAACACACTGTTGTTCTCCCTGTCTCCTTTTCTCTCTCTTTCCCCCTCTTCCTCTCTTTTTATACAGCTACGCGTCTCGTTGCATTTCTCTCTCTCTCTCTCTCTCTTTCTCTCTCTCTCTCTCTCTCTCTCTCTCTCTCTCTTTCTCTCTCTCTCTCTCTCTCTCTCTCTCTCTTTCTCTTTCTCTTTCTCTCTCTCTGTGTGTGTGTGTGTGTGTGTGTGTGTGTGTGTGTGTGTGTGTGTGTGTGTGTACTCTACTCTTTCCCTTCCTAATACGTTCTCTCTTTCTATCTATCCCCCATTCCCTCTCAATGACATATGTACCCATCCTCAGGGATCCGGCGGACCCCGTGGACCCCCAGGACCCCCTGGACTCCCAGGACCCGAGGTGAGTCATGTGATACAGGAAGCCATTTTAACATTTGATGATATAGATCTAACACATTGGTGTAAGACTCGCCTTTCCTCACAAGAAAAATTGTAACTGCAAAGCAGTGTTTGCATTTTTTACTTTTAACTATGTCGCTTATTTACCTACATAAATCGATATTCTTAGCGTAATCTTTTGGAATTTGAATCATAAGATCATCTCTATCTCACTAAATTCATCCCCAAAACTTCTAAAAGGAAAACAGTCAATACCCTTTTTCTTTAATTCACTGTTAAATGTTGAACCAGAATTTTCATTCGCCTCCCTTGTATCACTTCAGTGACCAACCAAAAATCACATTAATATCGCTCTGTGAACTCTCACCTTTAACCTTTGCCCCTTTGCCTCCAGGGTGACAGCGGCAGAGATGGACAGCCAGGACCCGCCGGTACCCCAGGACCTCGTGTAAGTTTTTCTCAGTTTCCTCCTAGGAAGAGTACTACAGGACTTGTCACAAAAATAGGTCATATAAGTGCCGAAGATTAGAACGTAACAGATCAGACCCCCCAAAAAATAAAGGAGGAGAAATAAGGACGACATGATATTATTTGTTTTTGTAGGGGGGTTTTTGGGGGGTGGGTAAGGTTTTACGGCTCTCGCAACTGCATAAGGTCATATGAGCGCGCGGGGCACACCAAACATTTTCAGTTGGCCGAATTTTTTAAAATTTTGCCTGGGTGGCGGCTGAAGCCTACATTTATCGATTTTAGACCACCAAGGGATCTTTAAGGTGCGCAACTTGCACACGGAATCTCCAAGTTTTTCGCTCTTGTCCATTTTTATTGAAAGATGATTGTTGTGGGCGTTTTAAATACTTCTTGAACAATCACAAGCTGATGTTAGGGGAAAATGATAGAGGGGGGACATCAAAATTCGTATGAATATTAGAAAGGGAGAGAGAGCAAGAGAGAGAAGGGAAGAAGGAGAGAGAAAGATAGATCTACAGGTAGAGGAAGAGAGAGAGAGAGAGAGAGAGAGAGAGAGAGAGAGAGAGAGAGAGAGAGAGAGAGAGAGAGAGAGCATATTATTATGCCATGTTGTAACATACTGAAAGCCTCAGGACATGAAGGAAGGGGGGGGCCAACCTAACGTTTTGCTCACTCGCGCACCCAAAAATCACGTGTTTGCAATATGGCGTTTGTTTATATGACAAGCAAACACAATATCCGGCTGCCTCCCCTAAATGTGTGAGTTTGGTCGTGTTAAGGGGGAAAAGCCTGAAGGAAAACGAAAGGCTTGAGTACATTTTTGAACTCGAATTGATAGTAATGTGCAAACGAAAGATTGAGGTATATTCTAGAAAGTGAAATGGTGGTTATTGGCTATCTGTATTGTGTTGACAATTCTACCATCCACACAATGAACTCGCATTGCAATGATTAGAATTCTAATGTCTTCCTTCACGCTGCAATATTTCCGTTCACGACGAAAGTTATGGGAACAATGATCAAGATGATTAGAAACGTGAATAAGAATACAGCGGATAACACTGGTTTTGTTTTTTGTTTTTTTATTTGTAGGAGTTTTTCTTTTGGATATATGTGGG